AAAAAAAAAAAAAAATTGACGTCGCAACAAACCAACCAACAAAAACATATAAATAAAAAAAAAACAAAAAAAACAGAAGTAGTTCGATTATACGAAAGCTTTTTGTCAAAAGTCAATACTTAACGCCCAATTTGTTAAGTGGCCTGACATTTCTTTCATGTATGTGTATGTGTGTCTAACTTTTTTCTAATTAATGCGCGATATTAATTAATAATTTAATAATATATAAAATATATGTAGAGATAAATTATAAAAATAAGTCTCTCTCCCCTCTCCGTCGATAATAATAACAATAATAACTATAACAATAATATTAATAATGATAATTATTTAAATTACAAAAAAGGGGGGAAATAAGAAGAAGAAGAAGAAGAAGAAGAAGAAGAAGAAATAAAAGGGAAAAATAAATCAAAGGAAAAAAAAAAAAACAATGTGAAAACTGTGAAAAACTAAATCTGTGACAAGTTCGTTTATTGTTCTCTACGTAACGTTATTAACCAATCAAAAATAAATTAGACACCAATAACAATTGAGATTTAAGACGATCTTTGCTTGCTGCTACTGTTGCTGCTGCTTTTTTCCTATTTTTTGATTTTTTTGAATTTATTTCATTTGCACACAAAAAAATTTGCACCAATTAAAAGAGGTCAAGATAAAAATATTAAAAAAAAAAAAAAAAATTATGTGTCGAAGAAAAATTGGTCCCTGCGTAACGGCAACAATCATGAAAGTGTTTTTTGCGGTACGATGTAGAAGAAAAAAATTTTTTTAAATTAATAAAATTAATTCTCTTTCGTCGTAAAAAGGGATTATAATTGTGGATAATAAAAAGAAATGAAAGGAACAAAAAAAAATAATAAAACTGAAGAAAAGAGAAATAGGGAGGAATAAAAAAAAAAATGATGAAAATAATAATATTAATATTAATTATAGTAATAATAATAATTATTATTATAATAATAATAATGATAGTAATAATAAGAAAAATAATAACGAGTATAATAAATAATTAAAAAAAAAAAAATAATAGACACAAGAGAAAAAAAAATATAAGAACAGGTAAAACGTGTGTAAACGAAAGACGCGCACGGCAATTTCGTTGGAATTTGTTTAATTTTTTTCTTTTTTTTTTCTTTTTTTTTCTTTTTTGTCATTAGCTTTTTCTTCGATCGTATTAAAAAAAAAAAAAAAAAGAAAAAAAAATGCGAATGAAATTGAGAAGAAGAAGAAGAAGAAAAATAAAAGAAAATAAAAAATGAAGGGCACATTAAATTGCGAGAGATTGGAGTTTGTAGGAAAATTTAAATAAATTAATTAATTAATAAATAAATAAATAAATAAATAAATGAGAATGAATGCTAATAAATAAAAAATAAAAAAAAAGAAAGAAAGAAAGAATTAACATTAAAATTACAATTAAAATTAAATAATTAAATAAAAAAATAAAGTGAAATACGTGAGCTTAGTAAAAAAAAAAAAAAAAAATAAAAAAGAAAAAAAAATGATAAGAAAAAAAAAAGATAAAGAAACAAAAAAGAAATAACAAAAATCATTTTAAAAAGGTCGATACGATCTCTGTTATGCGATTTAAAAAAAAAAGGGGAATGAAAAAAAAACATTAAATAAATAAAAAAAAAAAATAAAAATAAATAAAAAAAAAAAAACAAACAAACCTGCGAGAATGTCGACTTTCGATTCTTTTTTTTTATTTGCCTTTTTTTTCCCCTTTCTTCTTATCAAACTAGTGCAATAATTTCAAATTTATAAAATGAAATAAAATTTAAAAAAATAATAATAAAACAAGAATAAGAAATGCATTTTATCGAAAAATATGAATCGAAAAATGAAAAAAAAAATAAAAAAAGAATCGAAAATCTCGCTAGTTGTTTACCGAGTTCGTGGCCTCTGCGATGAAACAAATAATTCATCGTGACTTTTAAGAAAAAAAAAAAACCAAATAAATAAAATAAAAAGAAAAGATAAAGAGAGAGAGAGAGAGAGAGAGAGAGAGAGAGAGATTGAAAGAGTGAAAGGGGAAAAGAACAGAACGCCAATTGTTTTTTGCAAAGCTCGAAGGATTTGAGATTTGAAATGAAAATTAAGAAAAATTAAATTAAAACAAAAGCAAAAAAAAATGAAATTAAAAAAATAAATAAATTGAAATAATAATAATAAAATAAATAATTGAATGATCGAATAAAAAATTGATTTTAATTTAAATTTTCTTTATTTTCAAATCATAAATTTTCATTGTGCATGCGAATGATGAAAATTTTGTTTTGACGAAAAATAAAATAAAAAAAATCCGAACAATCAACAGAATTTTTTTTTACAGATGTTATTTAATTATTTATTTTATTATTTATTTATTTATTTCAAATCTTATGAATCCTTCGACAAGAAAAAAAAAAGAATAAAGGAAAATAAATTTGTTTGTTAACCAAGAATTAAAAGTCAGGCGTGTGTCAAAGATTAGACAAACCGAAAAGAGAAGAAATAA